ATAACTCCCTTGCAAACCCAAATAAATCTATCTGCGTAAAAGTAACTAAAATAAGAGTGATTTGCGGCAAAACCCGCCAGTATCACACCCAACGTCAGTGCCTATACGTAAGCGTACTACGACGCGGCTCTCAATTAAAGGAGTAACAAGTGTGATACTATCACTGCTAGACTAGATCTTTGGTTCTCTCATGCAGTGGTTTATCAGAGAGGGGAAGCTTAGTAGTTCCCATTGACTGCCCATGGTGCCATTCTATCGCTGCATGAGCCAGCAACGCCGACCATAAACCTACCGTCTCCAACACTCCACTATAAAGCATGAAATTAAGCCCGCCCACCAACAACAAGGTGCATAAACTAGCCAAAGGGAAGGACTTGGGAAAAGTGCCTTTGGAATATTAATTCTTTAAATCAAAATTTTAAATTTTATTATTCATATTTATTACGTCCCAGCTAGAGCTTTGCTTTTGTCTTCAACTTTCATTTCATCTCCTGTTTTTAGGCCTGCCGTTGTTACTTGTGAAATGAGGATTACACGAATGTAACGTATTGGGTTGTAACGCATTGATTTATCAGTATACGATTTGCAACATTCATGGCATACATGCAGCCGGACAAAGATTTATCAAAATGGTACCATAACGTTTGCAAATTTAAATACAGCCCTATGCCTTGTGTAAACGAGGGTTGATCAATTTAAGGTGATACTCTAAGGAAGCCTTAGCGTGAAACTTCAAAGGCACAAATGTCAGCTTCCACAAAACATACAAATTTGAAATTGCTACTCTCAAAAATATGATAATATGAAACAATTTAATTGAACTACAACGTTCGCTGTCTGATAGATTTTTGTTTGAACACAGATAAAGGACAAACTCAAATGAAATTCAGTTTATCTGTCATAGTTTTCCAACATTAAAATGTAATAATATGGTGTGAAGTATTTATTAGTATTTTAAACCGGTTTTTTATATGAAATGTATTTTAAACAGCGAATTTTCACTCCGGTTATTGTGAATAAACTTTATTCAGTGGGTACCTGAAAATTGGCTGTACATGTTTTTTTTTATATTAATTTATTTGTACAGGCTCAATCGAATAAACTTTACAGAGCCGAGTTATCATTTGCATTATACATGATTAATGTCTTAAATCTAGAGTTAAAGGAATTGAACCGATTACTCGCGGTCGTCTCGAGGTTAGTGGAGATTTACAATTTTTTGGATGGGGAAAGGGAGAAGGAGGTTTGAAATATGATTTATTATACAAATATTTAATTAATCCTAAAACATGAACTTATTTTTATTCATCTTGAAAACAAACATTAAAAAAAACTACACGCACAATACACAAACTAAACACAAGGTTAATCAAACTTACAATCTAAGGTTAGTATTCTTAAAGTAAACATATATGAGTTTCATAAACTCCAGATCACGTCTAGCCAAAATATCCCGAACTGGAACATTAGGTTGTCTACCTCGAGCCCGAAGGGAATCGCATAGCTCAGATCTGACTCCACGATGCTCAGCACAAGACCAAAGGATGTGATCGGCGTCTTGGTAACCTTGTCCACATTCACAGAGATTGCTGTCTCCCAGCCCAACACGAAACAAGTGAGCGTTTAACGAATAGTGATTGGACATGAGGCGAGACATCAGACGAATGAAGTCTCGACCCACATCCAACCCCTTGAACCAAGGACTCTTCGACACCTTAGGCATCGTCCCAAACTCCCTTCACTCCATTTATTTTGCCAGCTGGCGAGCGACTGTTGACGATAAATGAAGAAAAATTCATTGTAGGCGATTTGTTGATCGTAAATATCGCCTTGCATAGCGCCCACCTTAGCAAGTGAGTCCGCCTTCTCATTGCCCGGAATCGAGCAATGAGATGGGACCCATGCAAAGGTGATGACAAAAGATCTTAAAGATAAAGCACTCAGAAGCTCTCGTATTTTCATGAGAAAATACGAGGAGTGCTTTACCGGCCTCATGGAGCGAATAGCCTCGACAGAACTGAGACTATCCGTAAAAATAAAATAGTGATCTGGTGCAAGTGAGGCGATCGTTTCTAGCGTATAGTGTATTGCCGCCAGTTCAGCAACATATACGAAACAAGGAGCATGAAGCATTCGGGAGACGCTATGAAATTCGTTATAAATACCAAAACCAGCGGACGCCTCTATTAGTGATCCATCTGTGAAGAACGATCTTGCAAACTTCGCAGCATAAATTGACGGAACAATCATGGAACGATGATGTTCTGGGATTCCACGAATCTCCCGCGTCATAGATAAATCAAAACTAACTGAATTGCCGAAGTCGGAGAAGCATACACGATGGGGATTATGCTGTGAAGGGCTGACATCCTGAGTCATGTACACGTAGTACAATGACATAAAACGAGTTTGAGGGTTTAGCTCAAGAAGCTTCTCAAAGATTTCGATTACCAGTGGGTTCATTACTTCATAACGGGTGAGGAGCCTGAGGGACAATTCCGAAAACCGATCCGATAGAGGCAACATGCCCGCCAACACTTCGAGACTCATCGTATGAGTCGAGTGCATGCATCCTAACGCGATACGAAGACAACGATACTGGATACGTTCCAGTTTGATGATGTGAGTTTTAGCCGCCGCACACTGGGGCAGATCAGTGATTTTCTCGGAAAAAATTAATAACTTTTGAACAAAGCATCCTATCAGAATACTGGCTTCGGTAAAGTTGTTTGTATTAGTTAAGCGTTTCTTCTGAATAAATTAATTAGTTCGCAACTTGGTCGTAGAGATGGCGCGCGAATCTAACTTTTGAATAAAGCATCATAGACGTATGGTGTTTTCAACAAAGTTTTTTATCTATCAAAATGAAGGAAAGTTGCAGAAGACATAAAACTTCCATAACCTTTAGTTTCGGAGATATAGGGTGTATTCAAAAATATTATGCCAAAATTCTTATTTGTAATTTTTTTGTATATTTTCATATGTTGGCTCTGGTTTCTGCATTTATTCCAACGAAAACAAACTAGGTGCAAATTTGCATTGCACTATTTGTGGAATTTATAGTGGTTTTAGTGAAATATTCCCGAAAAACATGATATTTTGCCTCTATTTTAGGTGGGTGGGATTCTCGTAGGGGCAGCTAAGGGCAGCTGGACTTTGTCTCTTTTGCTAGCTCATGTCATTGTCTAACATATACCAGAAAACTGAAGACATGATATTCGATGATTCAACCCATTTGTCGAGGCGAAAAAGGATCATTTTCTCCAACAATTTTCGAATGCACGATAACATCGCGATGGGACGATACGAGTTATGATCTGACGTGTTGTACATGTTTGGAACCTAATTTTGAATTTGATAGGAACTGAATTTTGAAATATGAAAATTCAATTCTATTAAGGATATTGAATTTCCCCTAATTAATTTTTTTTTTTGAATTGAATGCTTATTTATTTTAGAATAAAATTTATAAATCAATAATTTTGTAATTAACAACAACAATCTCGTAATGCTGCGTCAAAAATGCGGTCGTGCTTGGGACACAACCCTTAATTTAAAAGCACCCTAATGTCCCATACACGAGTATTACGACGATGGAAAAAACAGTTTGATCTTGACAATCATGTCCGCCCACGGCAACTGTCAGCCAAGCACAAGCCAACCAACCATCGAAGCACAATTGGGAAAATCCGCGCTAACGTTCTTAATAGGAAAACCGTTTGCATTCTTTTTGCAAGTAATATCCAGTTCGGATCCATTCTTCCATTGTGTTTTTGCGCAGAACGCCCAAAATCTATACCGCCATGAAATGCAACTCTACTGTGCTGTCAAAATATAGAGAATAAGCGCTTTTCTGATTCTTGATCACCAACCGAATCAGCAGCAGCGGCAGAAAGAATAATGGGGTGCCGTGCATTACGTATGCAACGAGTGTAGAATGTTGCGCAAGGTGGAATTTTCTTCTCAGTCAGATGGTGCACTCAGCGGGTGGGGAGAAAAATAAGATGAATAGTCAGTGCATACAACAATGTTCACGAGCTTGTCGCGCCAAGCGATGCGTGAATCTGAAATTATGGTGGCAGTTCATGCGAAAAACTCCGCTGCAGTGACTAATGTTTCCTGGAGTTCTAATGGAACTTCGAAAGATCACCTAGCATTTTAATGGATCTGCAACCCACTGCAAAAAGGCAGGACGCATTGGGCAGATATGCCCCCAGCATCTTCTTTCCGGGTTCGTCACGGGTGAAATAACCCCAAAAAGTCACCTCAGCTGAATTTCCGCTGTGGAAATGTGATTGTCAGTTTCGCACACTACGCGCCCACGGTGACCTCATAAAACATTGAAATTAGATTCAGCACACCCAACCAAATCAAAGTCTGTGTGCGCGAAGTGAGCAGGTACCTACCTGCAAACGATGATCATGTGCTTGGGTGAAGTTGCTTTAAAACATCACCGGGTCGTAATCATTTTGGGGAAATCTCTTCAACTAGAAAAATTCGCAACCCGAAACAATGGGTGTTGCGAGCTGACTGTCTATATTTTTTTTGCGTTTAATCTAGAAACACCAACCCTCTAGTACTAGTTGCGATATAGTCGAGTTCCATGATCTTGGCCGTGAATTGCACCGGTGTACTGACCTACTCACTTTTTCATACGAGACTAACGAAGTTGTCTTTATAGCAGGTTAGTGGCGACGTCGGTGTTACTAGTAGGGGCACTGTCTCTTCTTCGATATCGCGATTGAGCCACTCACAATTTCGCCATAGACTTGACTTACATAAATTATCATTATGATCATTGGTTGCCTGGACAGACCTTAGACCCCCCCCCCCCCCCCCCGTATGGAATAAAACACTAGCAACGCCAATGATCGGTGCTGATATAGAAGTTGATATCTCCCATGCATTGTCGGATTAATAAGACAATGTTTAATGCAATTATAAATCATGTACATACCACATTGCTTATCTCGTTTCTGTTTTCCATCCACACCCTCTAGCGTGCTACCGAAGGGTACTGGCCGGAAAGCGAGTTGGACCACAGTGGGTACGGCGAACGCTAATTTGCGAACGCGTAGAAGACTGTCAACGGGAATGCGGAGACGAACGGAGGTTCCCTTGTGAAGGGTTCAACTATCGGTAAGTGCGTCAAAATTCAATTAACATCACTTTTCGAACGTGTGTGCCTTATCTCACCAACAGAATTGATCCCACCGGCCGTGGTCAAGGGGACTGCGAACTGATCGATCAACCCCTGTCCCAAATCGATCTCTACTCAAGTCCGCACCAGCGTGACTCGAATCTGATCCGTGATCCAGACTACGACTACTACGAACGCGACCGTAGTGCTTCACCTTCGTGTCGACCCAGCTATGGCTGCAAGGATGGATGCGGGATGAAACCCTATCGCCCACCGCCGATCGATTACATAAGACCCACTACTTATCGTCCGCACCCAGAAAACTACAAACCTTTCGCTACTCACGACCGCATTCCCTACGAGGAGAATCGCTACAAGCCCAGCACGGCAGTTGACAAATATCGACCACCGACTTTCACCCGACCGGACTTTGATCGGTACGCGTCTAGCCACTACCCTCCACCACCTCCACCGCCTTTCAAACCCAACTATGGTGGCAGCGGTGGCGATATCGATCGCTACGGATCAATCGATCACGAACACTACAAACCTCCACAGCACGGTCCCTCATACGTTAGCGGATCGTACGATCGACATGATTATTTCCGTCCATCCTATCCTTATCCCGAAGAAGATCGCCCCTTCATTCATCGTCCTCGCCACCCCTACGAAGACCGCGATTCAGCCCCACCGCCACTACCACCCCCATCACAATACCCATCTCACTCCGAAAAACCCAACACCTTCATCCCTTACCTCATCGGAAAGGATGCCACCAAGAACTGGGGCGCCTACGGTGGAACCTACGGCCACAGTGGATCCGATTCCTACAAAACCAATTCCGATTACTGGGGACTTCGGAATGAAGTCAAACGCTACGACGGACCGACGTTCAACTACTTTGAACTGAAAAATGAACACCACCCGGAGGATAATACTATCTTGCATTACGGGGGTCGTAAGTACGGCTACGAAGATCCCAATGCGCTCGCCATCCCAGATTATCGACCCGATCGGATAGCGCACTTTGGACCGCAGTGGACGCGACGGCCGGGTCACGATGAATGTTCGGTCAAATCGAGCGAAGGCTTCCGGCTACACAAGGGAATCGTCAAGTACTCCCTGAACACTCCAACGGTGATCGAGTGCGAACGGATGTGCTACTCCGAGTCACGTTTCCAGTGCTTGACGTTCAGCTACCGATACTCGACAGTGTCCCGGGAAAACTGTTTGCTCTGCGATCGGCCCTATCAGCTGTTGGATTTCTACGCTGACGTCGAACCGGACCGGGATTACGATATCTACGCGATGACCGATGACCGGAGATCTTGCCGCCCGGAGTCACACCCGCCGATTAGGGATGTCAATGCACGTAAGTTTGCTGGTTTTTATTATCGATTGAATATTTTCGGAGAAAGTTTAGGGTCACTAAGGACAAAATTAAGGGCTTCCATGGGAAGTTGTTGGGTGGCCATGTGAGTCATGAGGAAAATGAGACAATCCCAGATGGAAGTAGGGGAATCAGCCCTATTGTTGCGGTACGTTAGCAGCGTTAGAAGATTAGGCTTCTAACGCTGCTAACGTACCACAACAATTAGGGCTGTTTCCCCTACTAACTATATTCTGGCAAGTCAAAAAAGCTGCACAGAAAAATTAGAATACAGGGCGAAAATTATAGACAATCCTTAGAGAGATCTAAAAAAAATAGGGGGAGTTAATGACTGAAATCTTTGTGAAAGGAGGTTAGAAGTCTAAAAGGTTCTATAAAAAGCTCCTAGTCCATAAGATCCCAGGGAAAAATCTTAATAATTCCCAGGATCTAGAAGGATTTTTTGTTTTGTGTTTGAGCTTGTGGGAGATCCCAAGAATTTTTACTTGGAGACTATTAAGAAAATTCACGAAAATAAATAATTTCTAAGAACTCTGTGCAGATTTAGTTAAGGATTAAGATCTAATTTCTGTCATACTAAGCACAACCTACCCAAACAAGCTGAACAATTATTTGAAAAAAAATCGCACAATATGAATTGTACCTTTAGCATTCAGACTGCCACATATCGCAGCGTCGTAGCTTCAAGTTGAACATGTTTATCTAGAAGCAGGGTTGCTTCCACTCACTTGCCATAAAAATTTGTTTTTCAGAACAATGAAATCATTAGATGTTGTACTTGCAAGCAGGGTTGCTTCCACTCACTTGCTATAAAAAATTGTTTTTCGGAATTATGAAATCATTAGATGTTATAATGGTTATTAGTACTTGAAGGCAGGCTTGCTTCCACTCACTTGCTATAAAAACATGATTTTCTGTATTTTGAAATCATTAGAACTTATAATAATATTTTGTACTTGTTAGATACAAGAAGAGGTTGAAAGGAAAGTGTTTGACACATGAAACCTGTCAAATTCGCTTTCAGATAGTCACAATCAGCGATTTTACGACTCGCGAGCGCTCACTCTGAGTGAACGCTCACGAATCATAAAATCGCTTATTGTAACACTCTGGTAGCAAAATTGACAGGTTTTATGAGTCAAACACTTGCCTTTCATCCGCTTCTTGTGTCTAACAAGTACAAAATATCATTATAACGTCGAATGATTTCAAAATTTAGAAAATCATTTTTTTATAGCAAGTGAGTGGAAGCAACCCTGCTTGAAGGATAAAAAAAGGGTCGTGAAGTATGTATTTGACACATAAAACCTGTCAATATTGCTTTCAGTGCTTCACAATCAGCGATTTTACGATTCGTGAGCGCTCACTCTGAGTGAACGCTCACGAATCATAAGATCGCTGATTGTGACGCTCTGAAAGCGAAATTGACAGGTTTTATGAGTCAAACACACACTTTTCACCTTCTTCTTGTTACTTGCAAGTACGCAATATCATTATATCATCTAATGATTTCATTTTTTCGAAAAACAATTTTTTATAGCAAGTGAGTGGAAGCAACCCTGCTTGCAAGTAACAAGAAGAGGATGAAAACTGTGCGTTTGACTCACAAAACCTGTCAATTTCACTTTCAGAGCGTCACAATCGTGACACCAATCAAATTGAGGTTAAAATCGATATGCAAGTAGTTTGGAGACGATTGTGAACAGTTTTAGAAGCCAATTCATCAATATTAAAAATCTCTCATAGGGTAAATGGCTTCAATGTTGGCCTATGGATCTAAGATTGGGCCCATCGCTAAAAATCTGCTATTTATCTATTTTATCTAGATGAACGCGTCATTGAGACGGTACTAATGGATATTTTTGGTCGCTATTGAAAATTCAGTCGATTGCTGAATTTATGTATGCGCCTAAATTAGGGGCATTTAGGCCGACATTACATCTATTTCCCCTACAACTCATGAAAAATAATCCAAGTCCCAGAAAGTCGATTTTTGACAACAACAAAACATTTTCCGAGATAACACCAGATCTCGATGTTTCATGCATTTTTAAGGCAGGTAGGGTCCAGGTGTGGGAGCTGCCTTCCTGGCACGTCGGTAGCATTGGTGCTCAGCACGGAAAACAAGATCGACGGAAAAAAACAAACCAAAGGAAAAAAAAAGGCAATTGGTCATCGAAAAAAAATCGATTTCCATAATTTCATGTTTCGAGAGTGAAAAAGGTCAAACTTTGACCGCTTTGCGCTACCCCCAAATCAAGTCCGATTGAGCTCAAATTTAGCATATTTAGGGCAAGGGGTAGGTCACTCCGCACACCAATCTTGCGTCATCTTTTTTGTCAGTGTGCCGCAAGTGTGCCGATTGTGCCGGTCATAGAGCAAGCTGTGGTTGTTTGTAAAATACCCATTACCCATCCCGGCAACCAGGTATTTCTGACACCTTGAATGTTTTGGTTTGAAACCGCAAGGATAAATCGGACTGAGGATGACGCGGGAGGTGGCGGGTGTGCGAAATTATGGTGTTTTGTGTTCATAGGGTAATAAAAGTCCTGTATTTTAGGGTTTCATAATACCCTCAAAGGCGGACCAGAAACTTAGCCTTTCGTGATACGAAAGCAACCGGAAAGAGTTGGAACTAGTTGGGAACATTGTTGGAAACCGACTATAGAGGATAAACTTCTGTAGTGTGTGAGTTGCAGCATTATTTGAATTAAGGGTACTAATGGGGTTTGATCAACTGCCTCTTTCTCTTGAGCCCACTAAAGAACCTTCTTCTTCTTCGCATATCAAGCTTATTGCATATCGCATATTAGCTTATTGCGTGCTCTCAACTTAGTGTTCTAGATGCACTTCCACAGTTATTAATTGAGAGCTTTCGATGCCTGTACCATTTTTGCATTGGTATAATTGTGTGGCAAGTCCAATCATACTCCTATGCCCAGGGAAGTCGAGAAATTTTCCAACCCGAAAAATTCCTAGACCGGACCGGGAATTGAACCCAGCCACCTCCAGCATGGTCTTGCTTTGTAGCTGCACCTGACTGAGCTAAGGGAGGCCCCCACTATAGAACTTACATTTCGTATTTAGATCTATAAGTGGATAAGGATGTTCCTGAATATACAGTCAAATAACACGTAATGTTGTGAACAACCTCAATGACAGATGTCCAGTAGTACTTCCATTTTATTTACAACAATCCAATGCCTACGAGATTGCGCCGAAGGTGTGCCGATGGATGTGCCCAAGCTGTGCCGAATCTAATTTCTAATTTGGCATAGGTTCTTTTTTCGAGGCAATAAACATTTTGCAGTGGGTATCTTTTTGAAATTTTATGGTCATTTTTTCTCCATACGTTCATTGGCACCCTAATATTGATACATTCAAACTATTGATACTATAGAGTCCATAGATAAGCGGAGGCCCAAACAACCATGAAAAATAAATATTCTTACTGACATTCGTGAAAAATGTTCATGCTCTTCGTTGTGCAGTTTTTTTTTTGTTTTGTGCGCAAAAGCTCAAAATGAAGTACCGTAAAACGGGGTCACATTGATAGTTTTTTAAAGTACACTACCGATGATAAGTTTAAGTACACCCCAAAAAACATGCAAATAGGTTTTGTTCAATTTTCGATCTCCAAAGGTTATTTAAATGGTATGAATGGTATAGCATAAGGAAAGGTCCATTAAAGGGTGATACGGTCAAAATTTGGTCAAGGGAAAACGCGTGTAAATCGGTGAAATCGTTTATTTAAAAAATCAAATTAAATTTCTTTTTCAAGTTCAATTAGTATAAAATTCAGGAAAAATATTCAGCTAGGCTTCCGCTTTTCCAAATCCGAATTGCCGGGCCTTACACTTGACCCCTGCCATCAGATTTTGTACAGCCACCTTGTCCACCTTCTTCGCCGCAGAAAGCCAGTTTGCCTTGAACTGCTGCTCGCCCTTAGCAGTTTTTTTGGTCTTCTTTAGGTTCCGCTTGACAATAGCCCAGTATTTCTCAATTGGGCGGAGCTCTGGCGTGTTGGGAGGGTTCTTGTCCTTGGGAACCACCTGCACGTTGTTGGCGGCGTACCACTCCATGGCCTTTTTACCGTAATGTCAAGATGCCAAATCCGGCCAAAACAGTACGGAACAACCGTGTTTCTTCAGGAAAGGTAGCAGACGTTTATTCAAACACTCTTTCACGTAAATTTCTTGGTTGACAGTCCCGGAAGCTATGAAAATGCTGCTTTTCAAGCCACAGGTACAGATGGCTTGCCAAACCAGATATTTCTTTGCGAACTTTGACAGTTTCATGTGCTTGGAAACATCTGCTACCTTTCCCCTTCCTTTTGCCGTATAAAACTCCTGTCCCGGAAGCTGCTTGTAGTCGGCTTTGACGTAGGTTTCGTCGTCCATTACCACGCAGTCAAACTTCGTCAGCATCGTCGTAAACAGTATTTTGTTTATCATCGCGATTTGGAGTCACTACCTTCTTGTAAGTCGATAGTCCGGCTCGTTTTTTGGCTCGATGCACGGTTGTAGACGATACACCCAGCTTATTTGCGGCATCTCGGAGAGAGAGGTTAGGGTTTCGCTTGAAACTACCGGCAACTCTCTTTGTCGTCTCAGCGGCTTCCGGTTTTCGATTTCCCCCCGATCCAGACTTCCTGGCTGTCGACAAACGTTCCCCAAACACTTTAATTACATTTGTAACGGTTGATTTGGCAACTTTTAGCGATTTTGCCAACTTTGCGTGCGAGTAGCTCGGATTTTCGCGATGCGCGAGCAAAATTTTGATACGCTGCTCTTCTTGCTTGGACGGCATTTTGACAACTGAAGAGTGAATTCCAAAATCAAAATAGGAGCAACATTCTACACACACACACCTTCAAAATGAGGGGTGTTCAGGTTTTTTAAATGCAAAATTGAAAGATATACGTCAAGTTGATATTGACCAAATTTTGACCGTATCACCCTTTAATTATGTCACGCAAATTT